GGGTGCCAGCTCAACCAGGAGGACAAAGTCGGGAGCAGGGAGCAGAGTCAGTGCCTGTCACTGCCTGTAGGAGCTGGCGTTTGGGGCTCTATACCCTTCAACCATGGAGTTGAAAGGAGCATAGAGATGTATATATTCAAAATATTTATTGAGCTCATATAGTGTGCTAGACACAGGGAATACTCCCAAATCTCTGCTCTCCTGAACCTCAAATTTGGGAAATAGAGTAGAACAATCAATAAATATATAATGGAATGTCACACTCTGGAAATCTCTACAAAAAGTAACTAGGCAGAAGTGTTTGACGTGGATTTGGGGTGGTAAGGGAAAGCCTCTATAAGGAGGTGACAACTAAGTAAAGACCTGAAGTAAAGGAGAGAGCCATGCAGACATTTGGGAAGTGTGGTCCAGGCAGCAGAATAGCAGATGCAGAGACCCTGAGGCAAGTAACAGGTGCGCCCAGCTTCTGCCTGCCACGCCCAGGCTCCCCTTACTGTACATTTGGGAACATTTTGCTGGTTAGTTTCCAGGGTCCATGGGCTTGGGCACTAGAGGCCTGGGGTTCACCCTGTCAACTCAGTCCTCAGTGAGCCAGCCAATATCTGAAATGGGCCACTGGATTCAGCCTGGTCCCATGGGACACCACTGTCCAGCTCAGGAAGACAGCCTGTGGTGGAGGCTTGGCCCACGTCACAGGCTGTGAACAGGGCCTTGCTGAATCTTGGTTTCTCTGCAGAGCTATACTCGAAGCGCGGCCTTCATCGTGACCCTGCACCCATTGCAGAGTACCACACCCGACTTCTGGAGGCTGGTCTACGACTATGGCTGTACCTCCATCGTCATGCTCAACCAGCTGAACCAGTCCAACTCTGCCTGGGTGAGGGCCCTGCTAGCCAGGCCACCTGGCTGTCTGCTGCCCAGGGCTTCCGTATGTTCAAGGGCATGGTCCTAAAGTCAAGAGTCAGGTCTCAGCTCTGCCACTTATTTGCGTGACCTTAGGCGAGTCACACTCCCTCTAGAATCTGGGTTTCCATTGTCTATAAAATGAGGGTGTCAGACTAGAGAAAGCTAGGTACTCTTGATTGTAAGCCAGGGGCTCTGCTTTGCACGTATGGTCTTTTGGCAATCTACAGTGATGTTGGAGTAAAGGCTACAGGTGAGAAAATTAAAACCCAAATTGTTGAAGTGCCTTCTCCAAGTTCACATAGCTGTGGAGTGGCAGGGCTATGCTCCCCACCCAAGGCTCCCTCCTTCCAGAGCTTCTGCTATTTCAGTTGCTCAACTAAACTGCCTATCATGGGGGGCCTTCAAGGTACAGTAAAATTCAAGCCTCCTCTTTCTGTTTGCTCTAAGGTGAGTTAATTTACCTCTTTGAGCTTCAGTTTCCTTCTCAGTAAAATAGGGACATCGCAGGGCCTGTTCTTAGCGGGTGATTGTGGGGACCATATGGGACATGCATATGCCTTTTAGCACTGTGCTGTGCTTGGCACACAGAAGGTACTCAGGACAAGGCAGGGACCAAGAGGATGGGGTGACACTCACTTCTGAAGTTGGGCCAGACACTGGCTTAGTGGCCTCAGCCTGGGGATAGTCCCCCAACTCCCCCATTTCTTTTTGGAGCTCTCAAGGCTGGAGCTTCTGAGAAATGCAATGCCCAGCCTTCTAGCCTGATTTCTGGACTCCTTGCTACCCCAGCTCTATGTTGGGCCCAGGGAGCAGGAAGATTTGCTGTAAAATGAGCATTGTAATGACTGTCTGGAGAAGGCTTTGTTAACTGGGCTCTTTATGACTCAAGTACTTGGTGTAAATGACCCAGGACTGCAGATGGGCTTCAGCCCCTGGGTGGGGATCTGGAGTGACTCCCAACTGTAGCAAGAACCTACCATTGCTAAGGTGCAGGAGAGGGGCCCAGAGGAACGTTCACATAGACATCATCCTCTGGTCATTGATTTGTTCATTCATTCAGGTCACTTTTCCCATGGACTCCTCCCTGCCATGCCCTGCAGTGGGCCTCGGGAAACAGAAGGAAAAGACATAGCCCATCCTACATCTCATGGTAGACTGATAGTGATAGCACAGAGAGAAAAGGGCTATCATGAAGCATGCACAGGGACACAGGAAAGCCTGGGGGATAATGTATCAGGGAGGGCTGCCTGGAAGAGGCAGTGTTTGAGCTGAGATATGTAGGAAGGGTAGGGTTAACTGGGTGAAGAGGTGGGGGAAGAGTGATCCATGTGTAAAGTTCTGAATGCAAGTGGTTACCAGGACCCCCAGCAATAAGAAGGTAGTGTTCTCTCCTCATGGCTGTGGTGAGAGAGGGAAGCAGATGGAGCATGGTGTCATTTGGGAGGAGCTTGAGAGCCATTTTATAGATGGAGAAACTGGGGCCCAGAGAAAGGAACTTTGGTGGGCTCTAAACAGAGCTGAGACTAGAAGCTAAGGCTCTAGGTAGTGTGACAGGCCTGCGCACGTGTGTGTGTGTGTGTGTGTGTGTGTGTACTGGGATGCTGCCCCTCCTACGTCCCTCCACTGTCTCGAGTCTGTATCTTTGGAGGCAGTTTACTTAGGACACTGGCTCCATGGAGGGATCCTGGGGCAGCAGTGCGGGGGCTGAATTGTGTTGCAGCATCAGGAATACCCCACCTCTGTGAGCTGGTATTGAAGGACAGAGGCAGTGAGAGAGAAGGCTAGGGGAGGCTTTTTTGTGGATGGGGGTGATCTGGGCTGATCCCTGGAAGAAGGCAGCCTCTTATTGGGGTGTGTGAGGGTGTAGATCTGTAGTGGCGTGGCCGTGGGCATCAGTGCACTGCCTGTGAAGGGTTTATCTTGGCTGATCTGAACGTGTCAGTGTAGAAGACTCTGGGGCAGGTATGCACTGCCGTCTGTGGGTGGCAAGTGGGGGGATGCTAAAGGTGAGTATGGAGTGAGTGGATGGGCCAGAGTATGTGGGAGCCACAGGGTGGGTATGGAACCTTGGGTGTGGGTGTGGCTATGGGATGAGCACTGCTGGGCTCTACTCAGCTCCCCTCCCTCCATGCCCGTGCACCCAGCCCTGCCTGCAGTACTGGCCGGAGCCAGGCCGGCAGCAATATGGCCTCATGGAGGTGGAGTTTGTGTCAGGCACAGCAGATGAAGACTTGGTGGCCCGAGTCTTTCGGGTGCAGAACATCTCTCGGGTGAGTGGTCTGGAGAGCCCCGGGGTGAACCTGGGATGTGGCCCAGGAAAATTAATGACTCTCTTGAGGTCATTAGGCCCCTGACCCTGGTGCTCATGACCCCAGCTGCAGGAGGGGCACCTGCTGGTGAGGCACTTCCAGTTCCTGCGGTGGTCTGCATACCGGGACACACCTGACTCCAAGAAGGCCTTCCTACACCTGCTGACTGAGGTGGACAAGTGGCAGGCAGAGAACGGGGATGGGCGCACTGTTGTGCACTGCCTGTGAGTGCCTGGCAGACCAGAGGGTGGGTGGGGGGTTGGGATTGGGGAGCTAGGGGCTGAGGTCCAATCTGGGAGAGGGCCTCAAGGCTGGCACTAAAACCCTATGTCCCTGTGCCCAGCCACTTCCACCTTCCCAGTCCATGCCTGGGCTCCCAGATGGCCATGGCCTGGACTCAGCCCAACCAGCTAACATGCTGGCCCTGCCTTCCCTGGGCAAACCTAGTTTCCAGGGTACATACTCAACCCTGAACAACTGTCTGGTACCCTCTGTGTGATGTTTGACATTGCCAATTTAATTAAAGAGAGTCCTTACCCCAGAACTTTTTACCCCATGAGATTGCAGCATACTTTTTATGCCAGTGGAATTTCAGTCTTTTGTTTGTGCATGCACACACACACCTTTTTTCTTTCATTCATATATTTATATGTATGCCATCTTCATAAATTCACATATTTATGTCTGGGTGCAATCACTCCTTTCCTCCCTACTTTTTCATACTTTCAGCATTCACTGGGCCTTCCCAGGCCAGGCTGAGCATACTGGAAATTGGAATAGGGAGCTGAGTTAGTGTAGGCCTGACCCCCAGGGCTTTTGGTTCTAGTGGAAGAGACACCCTGAGAAGGGGGCTGAGGCCTAGTCATCCTCTCATCCCCAAGAGGCACCCCCACATGTGGGGAGTCTCAGAGCAGAGGGAGAGACGCTAAGGGTTGGCAGACTCTCTGTGTGGGAGGCTCTAGGTCTGACTTGGGGTGTGCGTGCTGTGTGTGTGCGCTGCCGGGTGGTGACTAGTCTTCTTGGTGTTCATTTTCCATCTTGCTCTGGATATGTGCTTGCTGGTTGCCTGCCCTTCTCTGTCGCTATCTTTGTCTCTCAGTGTCTTTCTTTTGAAGTGTGTCTGTCTTTTCTCTCAGGATCTGGTCTGTTTCTCCTTGAGGGTATATCTTCTGAAATGCCTTAAGGCATCCGATGTCTACCTTAACCTCTGATCCTCCTTAAACTTATGGTCTTGAGCCCACCTCTGGGCTCTCGGCCCCTCCCTCTTCCCTTCCCCAGCCCCGCCTCCAGACAATCTGTCCCCCGCTCCGCCCCTTACTTCTGGGTTCTCAGGCCCCTCCCTCTCTGTTCCCCAGCCCCGCCCCTCACCTTTGGGTTCTCTGGCCCCTCCCTCTTCGTTCCCCATTCCCCCCCAACCCCCACACCTCTGGTCTCTCTGGCCCCTCCCTCTCTGTGCCCCAGCTCAGCCACTCACTTCTAGGCTCTCTGGCCCCACCCTCTCCGTTTTTCAGCCCCACCCTTTCACTTCTGGGCCTTCTTTCCCTTTCTTCTCGGTTCCCCAGCCCCACCTCCTTATCTCTGGGCTCTTTGCCCCTCCCTTCTCCGTTTCCCAGCCTCACCCCTCACCTCCAGACTCTTGGTCCCTATCTCTGTCCCTCCTTTCTTTTGTCCCGCCTCTTACGTCTGGCTCCCAAGCCTTAGCCCAAATCTTTTGAATCTTTCTCTTTCAGGAATGGGGGCGGACGAAGCGGTACCTTCTGTGCCTGCGCGACAGTCTTGGAGATGATCCGTTGCCACAGCCTGGTGGATGTTTTCTTTGCTGCCAAAACGCTTCGGAACTACAAGCCCAATATGGTGGAGACTATGGTGAGGGGCCATGTCCCTGTGCCCGGCCACTTCCACCTTCCCAGTCCATGCCTGGCCAGATTCCTCGGCACCTACTTTCTCCTGTCTGGTCCCCACCACTGGGCTTTGGTTCTAGTCTTATGCTGTCAAAACACTAACCCCATTAACCCTCTTTCCCCGTAAGGGGCGGCCAGGGCTCTCACTTCCCCTGTCTCTCCCCCTCCCAATGTCATGTACTAGGGAGAGGTCAGGGTCATGATTCCTTCTCTCCTTCTCCCCAGGATCAGTACCACTTTTGCTATGACGTGGCCCTGGAGTACCTGGAAGGGCTGGAGTCAAGATAGCGGGACCTCTGGCCTTGGGCACCCACTGCATACTCAGGGCCAGACCCACCATCCCAGACTGGAGAGGAAGATCTGTGCCTCCAACTCTGCCCAACTGCAGCCCCCGATGGGGAAAGCACTAGAGTGGATGCTGGGCCGTCTTGGTGCCCTCTTCCACTTTGGGCAGGGCCTTTCACTGTCACAGGGGTGGGTTATGGGCCAGGAAGAGTTTGGCAAGACTGCAGCCCAGCCCCACCTTTATAGGGACCTGCAGGCCTGATAGGCTGCTAGGCCTAATAGTGCCAGGCTGATAGGCTAGGCACTGCTTGGTGGATCGATGGGCTTGGGACAGCCAACTCTGGGGCACCCAGCCCAAGCCCCTTGACTCTATCTGAGCCTTTGGCAGTGATGAGGGAGGCCATGCAGGGTGTCCAAGGCTTCTACATACTTGGCTCTCCCTACACACGGTTAGGGAGTGCTATGGGGTCAGCATCGAGGATTCACCTGGCCCAGCCCCTGAGAGTCCTAGGGAGACTGGAATCTGCCTGAATTGCCAGTGGGGCACAGTGACTATCCTCCCCAGAGGAACTGTGGCACTCTCCTCTACCCCACGGCCCCCTGCAGCCCTAGGGATATTCTGCTCACCTTCCTTCCCCACTCCATTTCTTTGTGTGCTCTGAGCTTTCCTGAACCAGGATCTGCCTTCCCTACAAGACTCCAGACCCTGTATCTACAGAGTGAAGTTGCTTCAGCCTTCTCTTCCTCTAACCCTCAGGCTTTGCTGGCCTGCCTGCTCAGCTTGGGATAGTGACATTTTGCAAGTTGGAACAGCAGTCCCTGGGGTTAAGGTCCCTGTGGCCCCTGGTCAGTCTGCCTGTGGGGAGGGAGCAGAGATAGAGCAGGGCTGGTTCCAGCACCTAGAGTTCAGAGGAAACTCCATTTTGGGATGGAGGATCAGTGCTTTTTTCTTTATTTTGTTATTTTTGGATGGGTGGGTGGGAAGGTCTCTTTAAAATGGGGCAGACCACACCCCATTCTGTGCCTCAGTTTCCCCATCTGTAAACTGTAGATACGACTACTGACCTACCTCGCAGGGGGCTGTGGGGAGGCTTAAGCTGATGTTTGTAAAGTGCTTTGTAAATAAACATGCTCTCTGAATGCCACAGAGTGGCCCTGTGTGTGTCTGACCAGCCTGCTCCCAGCCTCCCAGTGCAGTGGGAGGACCCTGGACTAGCCTTAGTTTTTTCAGGCATACAATGGTAGGGATGTGGACCAGGGCACTGCTCAGTCTTCCCACTTACAGAGGAACCCTGGCCATTACTACCCCCACCTAGGCCTCCGAAGTAGTTCTTCAGGCAGTGGGCTTCATCTTGAGACCCCTGAGTACCACAGGACTGCCTCTTGTCCCACTGCGGGCCTGGATCAAAGTTTAGCTCTATCTAGGGCAGCATGAAAGATTCAGGCTTTGGTGTCAGGCAGATGGGCCCCATCAGCAGCAAGAAACAGAGTGAGTCTGTCCTCTCTGGACCTCAGTTTCTCATCTGCAAAGTGGGGACAATTCTGTTAGATCAGATGAGATAGTGACTAAATGCTTTTTGCAGTGTCGGGTATGCTGAAAGGGCTTAGTTCATAAACACATGGCGGAGACAGAGACAGGAGACACATCCCTGCTAGGATGACCATCCAGCTGCCTGAGCCCATCCCATTCCTAGCTCATTCTTGGGGTGGAGTGAAAGGAGGAGCAGATTGGCTTGCAGGGACCCGAGTCACTCCTAGCTTTGTGCTGTGTGGCTTTGGGCAAAACAATCTTATTCCTGGGCCACAGTTTCTTTATGAAAGTTGGCTCTATAATATACTGAACTGACTTTCTATGCCTCAGTTTCTCCATTCTAATGACCTCACTATTCAACATCCTTTAATCTGAGTTAGAAAATTTATTGGACTGTTATCCTATTTGGTGAGGGCACAGACTGACCCCCTCACCCTCATTCTAAATTGACCTCTAAGCTGTACCTGATGGTTTGCAAATGTGTGTCTGGTCAAGCAATAGATACTGGCCAAGCAATAGAATATAACTTGCTTTGCACTTGGGACAGAAGTGATGGTGTGTGAATTCTGGATCCCAGGGATTTTACTTTTGCTTTCTTGGAACTCTGTCATGTGAGGGAGCCTGTGTAGCCTACCAGATGATGAGGGCACATGAAGGAGAACCAGCACATCCCATGAACAGTCAATACCAACTGCCAGACCTTTGAAAAAGGCCATCTTGGACCTTCCAGCCCAGCCCACCTGCCAGGTGAGTGTAGCTGCATGATCAAGCTTACAAGAAACTGCCCAACCAATCCCTAAAACCAGGAAAGATAATAAAGGATTCTTTCTTTTAAGCCAATGAGTTGTGGGATCATTTGTTATGTACCAAAAGGTGACTGATATGTGCATGCTCTGGGCAGTGTGGATGCAGCTCTGCTCTTTGCCCCATTGGGTGTTGAGCTTCTCATGGTCAGGGAATATTTCTGAGTTCATCTTGTTTGGTCTTTTGCCCAGCAAAGGGCTTGTCTTGGGCCTGTTGGTCAGGTACTGTTGGCAAGAGGGAGACAGGAAAGAGGGAATGTATGGCTGCCTGCCTGGCTGATGGGGAGCCTCCTGTGGCCTCTCAGAGGAGCTGAGAGGCAGGTTGTATGTGTTAGTGTCCCGCTCCAGCTCCACAACCTCTAGTGGGGTGACCTCGCACAGCCCCTACTATGTGTAGTCCACCCTAACAGTACCTACTTGCAGGATTAGTTGTAAGGTCTGGAGGTGAAATGTTTAAAAAGAGCTAGCGCAGTCTCTGGTGATAGAACCAGCCCTCAGTAAAGGATATCTCATACATACTACTGAAGGCCCTGGATAATAAAAATGGTGATTGTCCCCTCTGTTTAGTACTTGTTACTATGTCATACGCCTTACACTCTTCTCTCTTACTCAATCCATACAGCAACTCTTTAAAGTAGGAGTCACAGTCCCTTCATTTAGAGATGAGGAAATGCAGGCTCCGGGAGGTGAGTTCACTCACCCAGGGTCACTTGGCCACTGCATAGCAGAGCCAGGACATGAACCTTTGCCCAGGCTGACCCCAGTCTGAACCTTTCATTGCTTTACCCTGTGGACTGTCTGGGTAGGGCCAAAAGCCCAAGGATCCCCTTGATGCAACACCAGATGTGTGACGTGTGGCCTGGGCACTGGTTACAAATGCTGTGCTGTGTGTGGAGATGGTGGCTTCTCCGATGAGGTGGCCTGGAGCACAGGAAGATGAGTGGTCCAGGTGGGCTTTGCCCGCAGCCTTGGATGGAGCAAGTGTGGCCTCAGCCCACTGTGGCCCCAGAAACTAGGATTTCTGCAAGCACAGACAGGCTGGCTGCCTGTTACTGCCAGGAGCTAAATTGTTTCTTTATGCCATAATAAATCTGGCTGTGGGAGCCAGCCAAAGCAATTATTATTCTCACGACCTCTCTGCTGGCCCCTGATTGGGACACGTTATATATCCCAGGCACCCAGGAGATGGAGCTGTGACTTTGATGGATGTTAAGGCCACCTGCAAGGCCGTTGTTGAGAGCAGGGCCTGGCCACTCTCTGTCCCTGGGCGCTGCTGACCACTTCCCTGCTGACCTCTGATGGGCAGGAGCTTAATGAATTTTGGCCTGAATGTCCCCCTGGCTGAGGGTGGAAGTCACGGCATAGAAACACAGGCAGAACCAACAGGTTCATGCCAGGCCACGCCTGGTGGAGGACGAGGGCTCTGAGTGTGGGGATGTGAGAAAGCGAAGCTTCACTCAGCACTTGCATGACTGGGCACGTTGCTAGGTGCTGTCTGTGGATTGTCACCTGTCAGCCTCCACTGACACCTGTGGGGTAGACACGATGATCATCCCACCTTACAGATGAGGAGACTGAGGCTCAGAGAGCTTAAGCAATTCACCCAAGTCAGAGAGCCATCAAGTGTTACACACATAGCAGCAACCAGAGTGAAGCTCTGAAAAACACAGGCTGGACCCTCAGTGCCTGTGCCCAGACCCACTTCTGTTACCCTGGGTGTGAGAGCCTCACTCCTGGCCATGGCCTCCAAGGAGAACGTGGCCTGGCTCCACCCTCTCTGGCCGTGTCCCTCCTGCAGGCTCTGTTGCACACTCCAGCTTCATCTCTCCTGTCACTGAATTCTGCTTGGACATCCTTTTTTAGGCCCATATGGCTGGCTCCTTCCTGGTGTCCAGGTCTCAGCTCCCTCAATAGCCTCCTGCAGAACCCTCCCTGAGTGCCCCAAAGGGGCTCTGCTGCCCTTACTGTCCCCTTCGTTCCCAAGGCTGCTCTGTCTGTCCCTCAGTGGGTGTCAGCTTGTTCATTCACTGGGCATTTGTCCATTTCCTCCCCACCAGACTGTGGGCAGTGAGGAACCAGGGCCACATGGATCTTGTCCCCTTGGGTTCTCTGCACTGAGCACAGTGCCTGACACATGCCAGGAACCCAGTGAGTATCTAAATGAATGAAAGTCACAGATTCAGGATTCAGACTCAGATCCGTCTGGCTGCAAAGCCCACACTCTTAAACACATCATTTTTAGTCCTCAGACGAACAAAAGGCTTGATGCCATGAGGCCGGGTTCCAATGCTGGCTCAGCCACCACCTTGCTGTATGGCTTGAATAAACATCTGCCCTCTCTGGGGCTTAGTTTCCTGGTCTGTCCAGTGATGAGGTGGGACTAGGTGCTTTCTAGGAGCTCATCCTAAGTAGGGTAGCATTTGGCTCAACATCCCTTGGTAACAATGGGGTGATGTTGCTCAGAGGTGCCCAGGCCATTGGCTTAAGCATCAGTTTCCTGAGCTGGTGAAACACTGGTATGTTTAGGGCTTCAGTCTGATGGGACTGTTCTACCTTGGCAGGTTCTTGTATTATACTTATGCAGACATTGTCTTTAATCTTCCAGAAATCCTGAGAAGTAGACATTACTAAAACCATTTGATATATGAGGAAATAGTCTCAGTGAGGTGAGATAAATTGCTTAAAATGGCTAGAAAAGTGCTAAGACAGGATTAGAACTCACATCACCTGACTTCAGAGCTGTTGGTCTAGTAATTATGGAGAACTACTGGCAGGTGTAGGCCTGAACCACACTGACTGCTGGAAATTTCTATTGCCCCTGAGTCAGTCTGCCCTCTCAACCCTTACTCAAGCCAGGTTCAGCCATAGACAGTCATAAACAGACTTAGCGGAGGCCCACAGACAAAGAGTCTCCCAGACTCAGGGTTTGCACCTAAGCCTGCAGAAAGTACTGTTGAATGAATGATTGAACTTCTGGAATCTGAGGATGGTGGGGGTGGCCTGAGTCAGCAGGAGTTAAGAAGCTGAGAAAGCCTTTCAAGAAAAATGAGATGTATCTCAATCACTTCCTACTTACTCCCAGGGGTGGGAAGAGGGAACCTCTCCCAGAATTTTATTTTCTGTTCATTTGAAAGTGGAATAATGTGGCTCTTCTGAGCTGTGTTTATTCTGTGACTGCATTCTCTCTTTGGAGAGGGCTACTGACTGCTCCAGCCCATGCATACCCCCTCCCACCTCTAAAGAGCACAGAAACTCTTGCCCCTCTAGCCTCTTCCCCAATAAACCGTTGACTTTCACCCTCCGTCCCCCTCATGCCAGTTATTAATTTATTGTCTCTGAGCTCCAAATACACCCTTCTTTGCCCTGATTTTTGTTATAGGAGCTGGACCCTGTAAACAGTTCTTTTTTGCCAGCTGGAGCAATGTTAGGCTTTGTCAGGAGAGGGTGCTAGAGGGACACCATAAGGTGGTCGCTGCAGGAAGGTGCTTCCCTTCCAGGTCCTGGTCCTCCTTAGCCAAGGCCCAGTGCCCATCCCCATAGTGGCCCGAGTGGACCAGCTCCACGTCTACTCCCAGGCCTCATTCTCTGCATCTGGAAGTTTCTTCTACAGACCCACCCAGTGGACCACTTTATCAGACTAGGCTAGCCCACACTCCCTGGAGAGCATCTTAGTCACTAGAGGCATGTTCTTGTGGTCAGCGCTCCCTCATAGAAGAGGGCTACATCAGTGAAAGACCTCCTGAGTCCTTAATTCCTTCGTTATTCATTTTCCCCAAGCCTAGGCATAGAAGCTACATTTTTGCCCTTGTTGCT